TTGTTTTCAACCAATAGACACAAGTCGTCATAATCATCCTATCTTTGTTACACACAGAATATGCAACAAAAACAGAATGATGCTAGTGTTGATTTATGTCTCTTGTTAGAAATTATTAATTATTAATTATTAATTATTAATTATTAATTATGAGTTTAAAAAGGTGTTTACTTATGTATATTTATGAAATATATGATGATGAAAATGAAAATTTATTTTTCCTAGAAATGTAAAGCCAGTTTTTCAAAGTACAAAATACAATAAAGAAAAGACGTCTATCACTTCTAAAGAAAAAATAACAACATACTTGTCCTGAATTGTATTGGAAAATATGGATTAATTTATATACGGAAAACGGCTTTTCTATGACTTCTAGAAGGAAATGTGTAACATTTGAACAGTTGTTGAATTTAATAATGCGTCAAAAAGGAATATAATAAGTAAGCAATAAATAATATACTTTTCTCACATATATATTTCTTTTCCACAATGATATTTTTCTTAGAAGTATTAAATATAACAAATAATTATTGCGCTAGCATCATTTTTAAATGCTTAATGTCATTACATATATATAGCAAATACTGACTGAACCAATTACATTTAAAACAAATTATACAATTAACAGTACTTTATGAATAAGACAAGATATGATTTAAATACTGTATTTAGTTATATTTAGAAAACTTTCTATGTTTTTGAAGTCTTTGTCTACACTAATTTAAAAATTCTGTAGTAAATATTATACAAAAAAATTTATAATTGAAATATAATTTTGGATATATATTGGAGGATACAACCAATAGCAGTACAAAAAATACAACAAATAGCTTTATATTATTAGGCACATGAAATATCTATGGCACAAATCGGAAACAAATTTGATGTAGCAACATCAAGTGTTACCAATTGCATTACTACATGGATAAACCTTATATCACAATTAGAATCTATTTTAATACATTAGCTTACTATCAAAGAGTTAATATAGAAGAAAAGTTCAGGAATATTGTAGATTTTCCAAGTAGATAA